CGGGGCACATTTGCAGGACTTGCAGGAGTAAGGATTGCCTGGACATAGTGACTGCCTGTGACAGGGGAGGGAATGAGAAGTCCACAGTGACTCCTGGTGCCCTGATTTGGGGCAGGGCTCTGAAGGTGAAGGCTGATAAGGGGCAACAGAGATGGCATTCAGGAAAGTGTTAGTTTCCTCAGAAACAGATGGAGTCATGGTAAATGCAGTGGGCCATCCCCTGCTCTGCTGCTGGATGGAGACCCTGAATTTTCAGGTAACCGTGGGTCCCTCTCACTCATGGGGGCGGGTGGTGGTAGGAGACTCAGTGGCTGGTTCTGGCTGCTCAGTGCAAGAGTGGCTGGGAGAAGCCAGAGGAGGCAGGGAAGTCCATGGGTGATGAGACTGTGTGAGAGAAGAGCTCAGGGGCTGAGCCCGTTAAGCCTGGACTGAGAGGGACTGAGGACACTGTCACCATCCCTTACAGGGATCCTTCAAGTCTTTGGGGAGAAAATCTAGTTCTTTGTGCTCCAGAATGCCCGACTGACAGGTGGCTTGCTGGGACTCAGCCTGCTGTGTGGAGCCCTGGTGTGCTGAGTACTTGGAGCTGAAGGAGACAGACCTCAGGGCCTCCTGGGAGCACTGTCTCTCTGCCTTCTTCTGTCCTCCTGCCTCTCGCCCCATTTTCTTCTCAGAAGCAGATGTAGGTTTTTTTTTTCTCTGAATTTCCCTTGCGATTGGATCATCAAGAAATAATTCAATTGTCAAGATCCCCTCCCCGGGAATCTCCTCATGGGGGAAGATTGGCTTATATCACAGGAAAAAATGGCGGAGGCTAACATGCCCAGGTGGATTTTGTCATAGACCATTGCCTGTCTCCACTCGGATCATGTACTCTCCCTATGTTGCTGACACCCCATCCTTTTCCTCTGAAGAGGGCATATAAACATCTAAATCTTATTGGGTATTTGGGTACTCATTCTCTTTCCTGTGATGCCCTGCATGCATAATAAATTTCTTCATCTTTTTACCCATTAATTTGTCTATGAAGTTATTTAATTTAATTTTTTTTTTTGGTACCAGGGATTGAACCCAGGGGCACTTAGCCATTGAGCCATGTCCCCAGCCCTTTTAAATATTTTACTTAGAAACAGGGTCTTGCTGAGTTGCTAAGTGCCTTGCTAATCTGCTGAGTCTGGCTTTGAACTCGAAATCCTCCTGCCTCAGCCTCCCAGAGCCACTGGCATTACAGATGTGCGCCATCACACCCAGCTTAATTTATTTCGTAGACTCAACTATCAAACTTTCAGAGAGGGGAGAGAAAGTTTTACTCTCTCCTACAAAGTCAAAAGGAGCTGAAGTAAGGGAGCCTTCGATTTTTCTTGTATAAAATGCTGATATATTTCCTGCATCGAGGGTGGAGGAAGATAGCTGGAGAAATGCATGGAATGCCTCCTTCTGTATCTGGCACAGAGGATGAATTCCTTAGTGGATGGAACACCCCTAAGGGAACTGTCCCCTGTTCCTCTGCCTAAGGTCCCTGGGGATTTCAGCAGAGGTGGGCCGCTTGCTTCACAGATGGTATGGAAGGAATCTGTGGCTTAGCCATTTCCTTATTATTCCACCAGTGCACTTTTCCACTGTGTCCGGTGTGACTGCAACGTGATTATCTGACAATGAGTCATTAATAAAAAACGTAGCAAGTTTCCTCCACCAGATTTGCTTCAACACAAGATAAGATAAAGAATGCAAAGCCACTGTGGTCTGCCAGGAAAATCTGGAGGGAGTGCCCCTGACCTGTATAGGTTGGGGATGGTCAGGACTCTTGATCTTGTGGGAGGTGGCTTGGTCCATTGGACTTGGGGCCTGGGATGGAGCCAGGTCTTTGTCCCTTATCAGCTGTGTGGCCTTGGACCCGCCATTTCACCTCTCAGACTCCCTTTCCTCCTGCACAGCGTTGTCTGAAGGACTGCAGGAGGTGATGTATGAAAAGCCCCTGACTGTGCCCTGCGTGTATAAGCGCATAGGAAACGTTAGACAAATCTATAGCTGGACCAGCTGATGCGAGAAAAATATTAACTGGAACAGTTTCTTCGCCTCCCACCTCCCTGCTGCATGTCGGAGGCTGTCCCCCGACACATCCCCTGGAGTTGTGTCTGTGGGTTGTCGTTTTTGTCTGCTTGCCTCGCTAATCGCACAGGAAGTGGGTGGGTAATGGGCTCCTCTGTTGTTCCACTGGCCTCCCCGTGAGTCTTACTGTTTTGCTTCCCTCACCACGGGGGCTTCTCACACCCCCTAATGACTGTTTTCCTTTCAGAAATGGCATATTTTTAGACAACGTGTTTCCTGTGGCTCCTCTCTGATTCCCCAGCAGATCTCTGAATTCTCATCAGTTTCCCCCCTTCCTCTCTCCAGGGACAGAAAACCCACCCCTGGCAGCCTAGGAACAGGAAATACAGGGGCAGAAGTCCCTTGACCTTTCCAGCTCTGGGCTGGGCCAGCCTGGGCAGTCTTTGAGGAGGCTTTGGGTCTGAGTCCCTTCTGACAGCTGCCCTGCCCCTCCCCAGCCATCCAGCTCCCCTCTGCCAAAGTTGCAGGGAGAGGCAGTGCTGGTGGTTTCCAACTTGTCCCAAACGTTTGCCTCTCTTAGTCAAACCCAATTGGACACGACCCCCTTCATCTTTCCTTAGCAGTCATGGTCAGCCATACCTGGGTCTGAATCATGCTTTCTCCATTGACTCGTGAGTTTTTAAAAGCTTCAATTTCTTTAACTGCAAAATGGGATCATACTCTGTAAACCTCATAGGGTTATTGTGAAGATAGGAAATATAGTATGTAAGTAGAATGCTGAGCCCCCTGCCTGGCACACTCAGTTGCTCTTATTAACTCTAATTTAAATAACAATGTTTCTTTAATCATATTTTAAGTGTATAACTTTTATAATTTGTTATTTAATTAGAATGATTTATGAAGGTGTACTCCATCTTCCACAGGCTGTGAGCCCCTTGAGGGGAAGGCTAGGTGGTTTTTAATCTTTAAGAGCAGAGAAAGTACTCAGTACGGGTGTAGCAGGATGAGGAGTGTGGCCCTCTGTCTTTAGGGTCTTAAAGAACTTGACTACTCTCTGCAAGTCTGGGCAGCCCCACAGCATGGGCAGGAAGGCTAAGTCAGGCAGGAGGAAGATCCTGAGAGGAAGCACACGCAGGAACCCGGCCCTGTGGGCATTGCCATAGGGAGTGGGAGGCATTCAGAGGAGGAAATGTGACTGGACTGGCTCGGGAAGCATTGCCAGTGAGGACAGCTATGATTGGGGGAGGTAGAAGGAGGGTGGAGTCTCCAGGCACCTCCCTGTTCTAAGCCTTTCTACACAAAGAAGACTGGATGGTCATAATTTCTGTTGCGTTTAATTCATTCATTCTGCAGATTCACTTTTTTTTTTTTTTTTTTTAGCATTGGCTCTAGACTGTTCTTTTAGGCAAATTATATTCTATTTAGCCTTCCCCCAGATCACTATTATGTGTGTGGTACTCCTACTGCCCTCCCCATGCCCATGACCAGGTCAGACCTGGATAATGGATCACAGCATTTTGTCATACTGGGCTTGACGTCATCTTAGAATCCTTGTTCATACAGAAGCCATTCTTGATGGAGTGGATTCTTACTTGGGCTGACAGCTACTTACCATCTGTGGTCTAGACCTTACATCATTGGGTAGGTCCCCAGGCCTCCATAAATTTCAAAAGCTTATAATTTTTCCCACAAAATACTACCATGCTTCAATATTTCCACTTTTTCTTATGAAAGTTCTTTTCTCGCCCATAGTTTGAAAGATTAGAGAGGTGTTAGGTATTAGGAATTAGGTGTGAGGCATCAGGAAATGAAAAGCAGGCAGGCAAAAGGACAGGTCTCCACCTTTATCTACCAGTATTTATTTGGAAGGAAGGTGTTCAGAAAAAGCTTAAGTTTGGCTTTGGAGCAAGGGGTTGAACATGATTCTGTGTTTTTTTTTTTTTTACAAGTTCTGAGTTAAGTGTGTATTTTCTGAGTGGGAAAATTGCATTTTATTTTTAAAAGTTTATAAAGTTACTCAGATTTATTACTACATACCCTTTCATACCTTTTGAACAATGGAACATGTGAATGTACTAATAAAAAATAAAGTAGATAAAAACTGGTCTTTGTGCTTGTACATGTGAAGCACCCTCTTCTCTGAACAAACCTCCACTTAGATTCTTTTAAAATTCAAAAACCATATTCCACAGAGATGATGGGGATGATGGGAAGTTATCTAGCATTGGGGATAATATTTACCTGGGGGTGGTCAACAAACAAAATGCAGAACAACTTTGAAAAGACAGAGTCTAGGTCGAGGTGCATTTACCAAATTTTAACTTAGCTCCTCACTTGCAAGGCCCCTTTTATACTTTTATACCTAACTTTGTATGATTTTTTTTCCTTAAAGAGAGCCTCCCCTACCTTCCCTTCATCCCAAACTCTATAAGCTATTTTTTCAGACCCCATGAAACCTGGTTCCACCCATGTGCAGAGGGAAGCTCTTCTCCTTAGCCTGCTCAGAATATGGCGTCCACCAACTCCTCTGTCCACCTGAGGAAGAGCTGTGATAGGGAGCACCTGCCTTTTCTCTGCTCTGTCCTTGCTTCTTCCCAGAAGCCTGTGGTTACTAACTAGCGTCCACTAGGCCATGTTTATTGGAGGGTGAGGTTGCTTCACTCAACAGAGTCCTGCAAAGCCATGGTCTTCCTCTGCTCTGGGACATAAGGTCCCCTGGGCTGCAGGTATGGAGGTCCCCCATCTTTTCTCTCTTCATTTTGCTGGTGTTTGGCAAACAAGGCAGCCCCAACTTCTCAGCCATCCTGCCTGAGCCAGATGGGCAAGTTGGGTGCCCTCTTCTGAAAGCTGGTGATCTTCACTTTAAAGGGGATGGAGCAGAAAGCCTCATTGTGGCCCCAGGCCCAAGCCAAATTCTTCTGTTCATTGTACACTGTTCATTGTGACAGCAAGAGAAGCCCACACTGTGCCCTTTGTTTGGTGATTGGCGCTCTGTGCATGTTTGTGACTTTGGTGGGCCCAGAGGCTTGGGATCCTTACTACTCCAACATGCTCATGAAACTGTTTTCCCTGAAGCCCGTCTAAGTTAATTAGAAGAAAAACAAGAACTATGGTGAGTCAATGTCTGGTGTTTACTGTACCTTGTCATTATCTTTCTAGATCAAGCAGGATAACATGGGGCAGAAGCTGAGGCATACTAGGTAAACACCTCTGCATGAAAACTGGCAGCTGTGCAAATAAGTGGGCATGAGGCAGAGGCTTGACCAGACAGAATCAGGAAGGAAAGACTCAACTCACTGGAACTGAATTGTAAAGCACACAAACCTCAATGAGGTAAAAGTATTACCACCTAGCAGAGCTTCATGGACTCAGGGTTGTGGCTTCATAGTTCTGTGGTTGTCAATCTGGGCCATCTTTAGAACTGGGCTGGGTGGGCCTTTGTATAATTTTTAAAATTCCCTAGGTGATGCTAATGTGTTTACAGTAGTGGGAACTACTGCCTCTATTAAATTTTATCAGTATGTATTAATCACAAATCTCCTGATAATGTCACAGGGCTAGAGAGGATCGTTTACGTTGGAGATCACACTGGGATCTGTGGAACGCCCATCTCAGGAGTGGGTGGCAGAGTTAGATCACAAGGCAAATTATTATCCCATAGAACAGTGGCTCTAGATCTGAGAGTGCAGTAGAATCTCCTGGAGGGCTTGCTAAGACCTTCATTGCTGGGCCTCAGCCTCCAGGTGTTGGTTCCTTAGGTCTGGAGTGGTATCCCAAACCGACATGTCTAGCAAGTTCCATGAGATGCTGATCTTGCTGGTCTGTGGGGAGGGTCATGCTTTGGGAACCACTGTTGTCGAGGACATGGGTCTTTGTTCTGAGAGGAACTACTAGGAAAGAGGAAAGAACAAGAATATAGGAGATGACAGGGGCCCTGGATTCAGGTCCTGACTCATTTGATGCAGTGTACACTGGAGCGAGTCATGTGGCTTCTTTTGAGTCCAGTGTACTCATCCATAATCTGGGGTAATAATCACCAGGATTGGGTGGGATAATCCATAATGACCCTCTCATTAGGCTCTTATTACGCACTGAACATTTTACATGCATTGTATCAATTAATATTCTCACATTTCTAGGAAGTGGATCCTGTTATTTTTATCTTATAGTCTTAGCGGCTGAAATTGAGCAAGCCTCAGTGTTGTTCGGCGCAGTCCTTGTGTCAGAGGCAGTTCCCGCTGACCCCAGGAGCCTAAGCTCTCCACCAGCTCTCGGTGGGAAGACCCTTCGAACACTGAGACCTGCCAAACATCCTACAACATGGTTGTTTTTTTTTTTTTTTTTTTTTATTGTTGGTCGTTCAAAACATTACACAGTTCTTAATACATCATCTTTCACAGTTTGATTCAAGTGGGTTATGAACTCCCAACTTTACCCCGTATACAGATTGCTGTATCACATCAGTACAACATGGCTTTGCTAAGTGATGGGCAGGATCTGACTCAAGGGACACATGGGGTGGGCAAATCACTATGCAATAGTGAGGAAAGCCTGTTAATTCAGGTCTGGGTGGAACTGGAATGTTCCAAAAGAAAACACAGCATACGATGACTCAGTTACTCCATCTGAGAATGGGTCACTCTGATAAGGTGATAGTGAAAAAGGAGCAAAGCAAATAGCCAGCAGGCAGAGCAGGGGCCTCTGTAATAGCCTGCCCAAACCCTGAAGCCTGGGGAAGCTGCCTCCCAGGAAACCTGGCACCAGATGACAAACTCTGCAGCTTATTCATTAACAACGTCAAAGTGACTATTTTGGGTAAAGGGCAGCTTTGAAGAAAGAAAAACACTGTTCATGTGAGAGGACCAGGAGAAACTACCAAGTGGGGACCTAAAATGAGCAAATCAGACTTTGTGAGCTCAAGAGTCTCAGGGGAGCTTACAGACACAGGGAGCCCACACTCAGGAAGTCCTGAGAGTCATTGTGAACAAAATTCCCTGGTCATTTGGGGGTGGGACAGATGGCCTAAAGTTTAATTCAGCTCTTAGTTCTAATCCTTCTTTATAAGTTGGATTCAAGCTTCACTGGTCTTCCAGATTTCTTTCCCAGGATAAATAACTATTTGGATAAGAATGCAATGAATGAAAAAATATTTTTTTTAACTATCAGAAAGAAGTTGATGAAATGTCATGCCAAAGCTCATTTGGAAAAATGTTGCTATAACCATTTCACATGGGTAGTAAGAAAATGGATGTCTGAAAAGTATTTGTTAGAAATGACTGTCTCTAGTGTCATGTGTACCTATATCTTGTTTGACAACACACCACAGAGTGTAAGAAGACACAGGCCAGAGAGGGTTGGTGGTCTTGAGACTGGTGGTGACAGCCTTCTCTGACTATCTTCCTAGTCCTGGGCCCCTAGGACTGGTCTGAGCCATCCTTCCCTAGCTGACTTTCCAGATCTGTGACTGCCTGATCCCCAACACACCTGTTTCCTCCAACATACTGGTGGAGTAAGTTGGATTCATTATGGCTCTGCTCTGTACCCTTGAACACTTGGTCTATGAAGAGCAAACTTCAAACACTGTAGATGTGATGTGTTACAAAGCTTCGAGAGCTTTACCATATCAGCACACTTCATCCTCTGAATAACTTTATGAAAAAGTACTGTTACTAGCCCCATTTTTACTTACTATCCAGTCTAGCCCCACATGACAGTAATTTTCTATAATTTCTATTTAATTGATCACTTTGTTATTAGCATTTTTTTCATTACTCATGTGGAATTCCATGGAATTCTCCATAGATGTGATTTTTAAAATCTTCAGTCTGCATCAGGATTATATAGGAGCATAGTGTGTCTAAATCTGGGCATAAAAACTGCTGGTGTTCATGAGATACCAACTGGAAGTAAATATCCATCAATCAATAAGCACATCCTATTCCAAAGTGCAAACAGCTGAGGCTAGGAAGGCGCACAGCAGGGGAACTGACCTATTTTGATGGGAAAAACGAGAGTGACACAGGTGTGTGAATGGTATACATGATAGAGAATCTTCTTCTCCTGATCCCTGGAAGGATGGGCTACAGAAGCATGAACACCTAGAGAAGAGATAGGACTTTTCTTTATTGCAGCATAAACCATTCATAGTAATAGTTGGACTTTAAAGGTAAAGTAGATAAAGGCCTTACATGTCTTGATGTGTGTGGTGAAGTCACAGAAAGTTCTAGAAAAACAAGAGGCATGGAAAGGACTGACCCCAGGAATGTAGGAGGTGAGTTATAAAATTGAACTCTACCCAAGTTTAAGAGAACTCAAGGATTGACTTCGGCTATGATAAAGAGTAACCCAAGAACAGTGGGTCTGATGCTTAATGTTTATAGGTTCTTTAGTCTTACTCTAAGTAAAATGCCTTTTTTATACTAGTTAAGTATTTCATTAAACTAATTGGTTTAGTGGAAAGTCCTGCTGAGCTCTGATTGTGTGGGAAAGCTGGTTAGTATTTGACTGGGCTCACCATGTGGCTGGGGAATGGGAGCCTAGTTCAGTCACTCAGATGGCACCACCCACCTACAGGTGTTGTAGTGTTGGCATTGCTGGTACAGCTCTTAGCTGGACATGGATGAGCTCCGGGACCAGCCTAGGAAACTCAGCCAGTGAAGTCTAATAAAGACCACAGTATTTAACCACAGAAAGGGAAAATATACCTGGGACTTGAACCCTAGCAGGTGGTAAGTGCACGCACCTTTCTTCACCGTCTTTTTAACACAGAATAGTGCTTTTGGTATTTTTTTCCCCCAGAAAAATGAAAGTCTTGGATTTTTCAAATGGGGTTATTTGCCTTTCATCTGTGTTTTCTCTGCTGTTCTATTTTCTGATCCATTACTTTCATCTTTGAAACCTGTCATTGTGACTCTTGTATCAATGTAACCATCACTTAAAAGGCTTTTTGCTTTTTGGGTCAGAGATGTTTAATATCAGGCAATTTAAATGATTTTATTTGTATTGACCTCATATTTGAGAGCCATACAAGAAGTACAATCAAATCAAATGTTCAAAGATAAGGAGTACTTTGATTGGACTTTTTTTTTCCTCCCCAGTTAAGTGGAACAATTGAGGGGTCCTAAGGGAGCAAGGGAGAATTCGAAAGCTGGTCAGTCCCCAAAGCCTGGTCCTAGAAGGAGATGGAACAGGAGACTGAGAACACATACTCAGTCCAGGGGTGGGGAGGAAAAGGAAAGAGGAGGCTGCTTCTTTCTGTCTTTCCTGTTGAGAGGAGGAGCACGGCCAATCCAGGCTGGTTGCAGGGCCTCAGATGGGATACAGGAATTGGGGCAAGTTAGTGGGTCTTTAGTGAATCAACATGAATAATTGATTGGATGAATGAATGAAGGAAAGAAGAAAGGAATATCTGGGTCCAGGAGAGAGGTCCTGGTTCCAACCCTACTCCATCCCACTAAGCATGGCCACAATCAGTGCCTTCCTAAAGGACTGCTTCCACTGGTCCACTTTTTGCTTTGTCCATATCCCACCCATGAATTTAGATACATACACTTGCATGTACTTACATATATACACTCTCTCCTCCCCTAACTGGATCCTAGACCAAAACCCAGAAAGAAATTGTTTTCCCCTGCTCCGTTAATTTGTTTAGAAAAATGGATTCTAAACACAAGAGCACTGAACCTGGTCAGAACAAGGTATGGGCTGAACCAAAGCCAACACTTAGAAGCAGGGCTCTTTGGAGCACACTAATTGCCAGTTTGATTTGCTCACCTCTTGATTTCCCCTCCCAGGCAAGGGGAGGGTGGCCTTGACTCAGAGGTTGCCTCAGGTTATTTACCCCTCCCAGGCAGTCCTGAAGGGAATCTGTGGGCTGAGTTCTGGCCTCTGCAGGGCTGGGCAGAGGGAGCAGGCCTGAGGAAGCCCTTCTAGGCCAGCCTAGCTCTGTTCCTCAGCTGGGCTCTGCCTGCAGAGACAGGTCAGTGGAGTTATTCTTGGTGCTCATTAGCACTTACACAAGCTGTGGAATTCTTCCAACATTGCTAAGTGGGCCCCAGAAGGCTGCAGATTCAACCCTGCTTTTGAAATCTAAGAGAATCTAAGTAGTTGACT